GGCGCTCCCTGCGGCGGCTGTGCTGGGGCAGCGGTCGGCGGCACGGCTGGGGTTAGCCTCAGTGCCCGTGGAAGAGTGAGGAGAGAGCAGGATTCCTCCCACTGTCATTCACTGGCCTTCAGTCAGTTGATGGTGCTTGGTATTCCGATTTCTTTATTCCCAGTGACAGGTCCTATTTCTGGAGGCTGTGCACTGACCCAGCAGTAACATCCACTCCATTACCAAGAACGGCTTTGTTTCTCTAGCTTTCACCTTCATTTCTGCTGCGGAGATCCCTTAGCTGGATGAGGCTGGAGTTAATTTTGGTTCCGTGATCAGTGAGATGTAGCAGGTGGGATCCCAAAGGCTCTGAAGGGTTCAGGAGCCAGAGGAAGACTCTGGCATTCTTACCTGCTCTTGTACCTGCCCCTTCTGTGGGCTGCATGTCTGTTGACAGGAGTTGGCTGAAATTCGTATCGCTGTCTTGGTAGGTTTGGCAGCAAGGAGGAGTACATGTCCTTTATGAATCAGTTCCTGGAACACGAATGGACTAACATGCAGAGATTTCTGCTGGAGATTTCCAACCCCGAAACCATCTCAAACACAGCTGGCTTTGAAGGCTACATCGACCTGGGCCGGGAACTGTCCACTTTGCACTCGCTGCTCTGGGAAGTCATTTCTCAACTGGAGCAGGTACCCGGGGGAATCACAGGGACGGGTTTTGGGGGAAGCGCCTTTGGCCAGTGCTGGGCGTTCGTAGATGCCACACACCTCCCCACGCCAAGCTGCTGTCAGTCCGTTGGCTGTACCTGGGCACAGCACAGCCGTCACTAACCCTTCCCCAGCCCTTGCACAGGCCACAGAAGTAGCTTGTTCTTTACGTCCTTCTTGGAGGCAGGTGAGAACAGCTCTTTCTCTCTTCTGCTGGCTTGTCAGTGCTGGGGGAGGCTGGAGGAGCAGGTGGGATGAGAAGGCAGAGCTGCTGAACGCCAGGATTTTGTCTGTCCCAGCCAATTCTTTTTAATTAAAAGAGTTTTTGTCAAGAGACCTGGACCAGATGTGGCTGTATCTGTCGTCTTCTGTATCTACTTTGTTAACCATACCTGCTTTCTCTGCCCCACAGCAGCAAATGGTTCCTAAAGACACATTTTCTGGGACATCCCACAGCCTCAGCCATGGGGGTAGATGATGGGAGAAAATTAATATTGTCAATGTGATCCAGCAACTGGCAAAACCTCCGTTTTTTAGTAAAAATACAAGGTGTCGGTAATAATTGTGCTCTCTTTTCTGGCCAGGGCACTGCAACAAAACTTGGGCCTCTGCCTCGGATCCTGAGGGACGTCAACTCGGCGCTCAGTAACCCAGCCTGCGTGCAGGTCTCGGTCACGGCCGATCACGGCGCGTCCACGCCCAGCGCTGGCAACAGCATCTCTGCAGGGCTACAGAAAATGGTGATAGAGAATGACTTATCTGGGTAAGAGCATAAAAGGTGGCCTGGCCACAGAGCACAGCAATGCTGAATATTCATCTGCTGCCAAAACCTGAGCACCTGCAGGGACGAGCAGGGCAGGGCGGGGATGGAGCTGCCTGGCAGTTGGCTGGGCTGTGCGATTGCAGAGCGGATGCGCGTTGTATTTCAGCGCCGAGCGGGCGGCAGTGCAGGCGCGTGGCTCTGTCCTGGGTCCCCTCCGAGCCAAAAGTGGCCTGCGAAATCCAGCTGAAACTATTCTGTGATTCTGTGATCAAGAACCTGGCGGTTCTGGTTTCAGCTGTTGAGATGTGGCCGCAGGAGCAGGATGTTCAGCCTCTGAGGGCTTGTCTGTGCTGACCGCAGAGTGGTGGCTATTGCCGTTTTCATTAAGTCTCCTGAGTATGCAAGACTTATAGGATTGGCCTTACCCATCTTTGTAAGATGTAGGATATGTGTTGAATTCACTGAGATCCAAACCTGGCCATTTCTCTCACAGTGGCCAAGCTCTAGAGGCCTGACAATGAATTCCAGCCGGCTCTGCCCAGTTTTTGTCATACTGGGTGTTTTTAATGCTGAGCAGTGATTCACAGACACAGTCACCTGACATACTTTCTGCCCTAATTACATAAGGAGTTTCATTCATGGGGAAGGTGACTGTGTTGCAGACCTGTAATGTTTCTGTTTGTGGAACATGAAGTGGAGCCCACAGAAGTTGAAAGACTGTGCTAGAAAAATAGTTTTTAAGTGGAAACTACCCAACATTTAACAGTTTAATTAGGAACGAAAGGCAGGGATGGCACTGGGCTTGCTCTAATCAGAGCTTTCATCTCTAATGCTTCCCAGCGTGAGCTACAATTATTTAAATCTAATGCTATGGAGGATCTTTGGCAACGTGCTTTCACCCAAATACTTGCTTACAATGCACCATCTTTGATCAGCAGCATATTCACATTAAGCTACTGCAAAGCTCTTTCTTCCTATCCCCAAGCAATCAGTGTGTGTTACAGCAAGAGGAGCAGCTGGGTGACCTTCAGCTGCCGGGCTTCAGCTCTGCTCTGAGAGCTCTGTGCCTGACCCCTGGAGGCCTGCTCTGGGTCACAACCAGGGGGGCTCCATGCCACACCAGTACTGGCTGGCGTGCCCTCAGGAGCTCGCCGCCCCGGCGCAGAGCAGGGGACGCTCGTGCGGCAAGGATGCAGCCGGCTGGGAG